AGAGAGTGGGCACCTCCCATAACATTGTTTTGTGCCACTCCCAACAGAAATACTCCAGGTGGACACCTTCAGCAATCAGGAGCTCCTCAGTTGCTCATAGCAAATCCCACCTTGGAGTTTACAAAGACTTATGGGTAGAAAAGCCACACAAAGTAATTTACTACACTGCAATACTTAATGGTATAATTTTTGCCACTCGAGACCAGCTCAGGTCACAGTAAGAAATGGCATCTATAACAAAGGCTATAATTGATTTTTCTTGTTTTGTATATAGGAAGATATGAAGAAGATGTTTTGTTGTACATGTAAGGCAAGTTTTATCATTTTCATTTTACATGGGAAAAGAAGCTAAGTAATATGTCCAAGTTTTTATTTATAAAACCATGAGAAAAGGTAGATGTCTGATTATTAACTGGTTTGGTTTAAAACGTGAACATTTTCTGTTTGAGCTTGGAGTTGATTGATCATAAATGGTACAAAAATACTCCTAACTTTTTTATTGGATTTCAGATCCTAAATATTTTAATTATGAAGTTCCTTCATGTAACAAGTATGTCTGAGAGGAAAATACTCCTTTAATACGAGCTGAGTTGAAATGCCCTTGTTAGGATACTGATGCTCATAGAGTACTGGGAGAGAAAAGACGCCCATTTAAAAAAGAGGATCAGTGTCCTGGGCTAAGCCAGTTCCGGAGAGAAAGCGAGACTCCCATAGGACGGTGCTTGCTTCACCAAGAACTAGCTGCTAAGGCTGCCCTTCTGATTTTGCCCTAACAAATATTTAAAACAATGTTAAATTGCCCCAGTTTTTAGCTCAGAGGTCTAATCTGGGTAATGCTTAAATTTTTCTGATTTTAAATGTGGAATTTGGGAGTTAGATTTATGCCATATGTTAAGGAATGACATACACACTAGGAGTTTAGGATTTTATTCTTATCTCTGACATATATCATTAGGGTTTTTGTAATAAGTACACTACTGTTTTTACCTTGTCAAAAAATTATGTATGTTCTTGGGTATTTTTCTTTGTTATCTCTTAGGTTTCTGGATCATTTAAAAATTAATTATAGATCTAGTCCAGGGTTTCTCAACCTAGGAATTACTGACATTTTGGATTATATAATTTTTTTTGTTGTAGGGGCCTGTTCTGTGCATTGTAGGATATTTAACAGCATCTCTGGCCTCTACCCACTGGGTACTTGTCCTTCCCCTCTAATGTGACAACCAGAAATGGCTTTGTTGTTGTTGGATGCCATTGAGACATTGCTAAATGTCTCCTGGGAGACAAAATTGCCCCTGCTTGAGAACCACTGATCTAGCCTATTTTCTGTAAGTGATGGTTGGCTTTTTGGAACTCTAGTATTAAAAGGGGACCTTATTATCTTCTTTAGCAGTCCATTCTAGTTTCAGGTAGCTCTCTTGGGATAGATATCTTTTCTCCATATTAATTTGAAGTTCTGGTGGTGCAGTGCCTAGGGCATTTGGCTGCTAACCAAAAGATTGGCAGCTCAAACCCACCAGCTGCTCCTTGGAAGGAAAGTGGGGCGATCTACTTTTGTAAAGATTTACCACCTTGGAAACCCAGTGGGGGTCGCTGTGAGTCGGAATCAATTCAGTGGCAGTGAGTTCGGGTTTTTTTTTAAAATATTAATTAGACATGTGTCTGACCCAAGCCATGGTATCTTCAATCCTGTCATATACATGTAAAATCTAGATAGTGAATAAGAAAGACTGAAGAAGAATTGATGAATTTGAAATTTGAAGAATATTCTATATACCATGGACTGCCAGAAGAACAAACAAATCTGTCTTTGTTAGACTTAGAAATGAGGGTGATGGGACTTCCTCACACATACTTTGGACACGTTATCAGGAGAGATCAGGCCCTGGAAGAAGATGTCATGCTTGCTAAAGTTCAAGGGTCAGTGCACAAGAGAAAGATCCTCAACAAGATGAACTGACATACTGGCTGCAGGAGTGGGCTCAAACATAGGGACAATTGTGAGATCGGCAGGACTGGGCAGTGTTCCGTTCTGTTGTACACAGTGTATCTGAGTTGAAACCAACTTGATGGCACTTAACAGCAACAACAGATATTAAGCTAAAACCTGGGACCATATAGAAGAACACTTACAGACTTTCAGTTACTGGAACATAGTTATCCTGTCTTTCCTAGTCCCTGAGTTGATGGCCTTAGAATCTGAGTTGCCAAACTTTTTTTTAGAAAAGGTTCAATAGTAAATATTTTAGGCTTTGTAGGCCCACATATTTCTGGGCTGCATAAGGTCTTTGTCACATAATCTTACTTCTTTCTCTTTCTATTTTCTTGGCATAAGGTCTTTGTCACATAATTTTACTTCTGTCTCTTTCTATTTTACTTTTTCCACAACTCCTTTGAAATGTAGACATCATTCTTAGTTCACACAGGCTTAGAACTGCTGCTTCACACACAGCAGTAGTTTGCTGAAGGTCAGAGTCTCTTTTCCATCTTGGTTGATCTTCAGAGGGCAGTGCCCTCTTCAGTTGTGCCTCAGAGCCATGTACAGAACTTTAGGTAAGCACTAACCAGCACAGAATGATGTTGGCTTTGTCACTAACTCCTTTAAGTATTGCAAAAACGGCGAGGAGGCCACATGTTCTGACTTCCTCTAACCCTACAAGGGGAAGGCAGGATTACCAGCAGTAACCCAAGGCCTATTACTGCAAGGCCAGACATGCTGCCTCCCTCCAGCCCTTTCACCAACCGTTCTTCCCAAAGCACTCACCACCTCTCTCCTGGGTTCG